ACAGAGAGAGAGAGAGAACACAAGCAGGAGGAGAGGGAGAAGCAGGCTTCCCGCGGAGCAGGGAGCCGGATGTGGGGCTCAATCCCAGGACCCCGGGACCACGACCCGAGCCGAAGGCAGACGCCTAATGACTGAGCCACCCAGTTGCCCCTTAAAGGGCATTTCTAAAGCCACCAGCTGCTAAGTGGCAGATAGTTTTAACCAGTGTCCATACCCTTTTTAGTAGCCAGAGGAATGCATTAGTAGTTTTAAAGAGATCTAGACATTGCCGTTTCCTAGTCGTTAACAGCAAAGCTTATATTAACCTGAGGCCAATCCAGCAATGCTCGTAGCTCTTCTCCTGTGTTCGGTAGAAAGACGCCAACTGGTGATGTGAAGTTTTTTGGTGAACTCAAGCGTAATTTTCATATGCAGAAGATAAGACTATTCAGAAACTTCCTTTTTATTTAAAACAATGATTTTCAGTGTATTAAAATTACAAATTAAATGATTAATTAGGTTGAAACATGAAATGGCCAATACTTGGCTTTTTTTTTTTTTTTTGACCTATGAAGAGTCCATTCATGGTAACCTAATTGTTCTGATTTGGGCTTTTAAGTCCTAATTTACCATTCTTAGAAATTTAACAAAAGTTTGTGATCACGTTTGGTGGAATTTCTGAATAATATTTGTCCTGTTTAGAAGCTCAAATATCTTAAAACATTGTATTTTATTTTGGGACTCTAGCTGCACAGACTTGGATTAATCCTAATCCTTGATCAAAATGTACTCTCATCATTGGTTCATGCATGGCCCTCACTCACTGACAAATTTGAAATTATATAATAAATACCCATGAATTCACCACTGAGTATGGAAATGGAACATGTATACCTATGTGATCCCCCAGAGTCTATCCACCTATTCTGCCTCCCCTGCCCCTACCTTCTCCCTCCCCAAACCAATTTCTTTTTAAATACATAAGTCATCTGGGGGGCGCCTGGGTGGCTCAGTTGGTTAAGCGACTGCCTTCGGCTCAGGTCATGATCCTGGAGTCCCGGGATCGAGTCCCGCATCGGGCTCCCTGCTCG